TATCACTCTAATGAGAGAGAAAATAAAAAAATAAATAATATATCAGTGCTAGGAAGAAAAACAGGAGGACCATTCATCCCTATTTGCCCTGAGCAGTACCCTTTTCACAGCTGTTGTCTTGGTGGAAATACTAAAAACACACTCTTTTACTCTCAAAGTATTCTGGTGTAGAAGATATAATAACCTTAAAGATAATGGGATAGAGATTGAGATATTGACCAAACGGGGGAGCTATTTTTAAATACTTTGGTGAGAAAAGATCTCTCGTTATAATGATAAATTTGAGGACTGACTTGGAGAGAAGTGAGGGAGCAGGCAAATCCATAGCTGTAGGAAGAGCTTTTCAGGCAGTGTATTTGTGGCAGTATGTAGCTGACCCCTGAACAATGCAGAAGCTAGGGGTGACCATCCTCCTGCAGTTGAAATCCGCATATAGATTACAGTCGGCCCTCCACATCAGTTCCTCCATATAAATGGTTCCTCCGAATCTGCGGTTCAGCATCCACAGGTTCAACCAACCACAGATCATGTACTGTAGTATTTACTATTGAAAAAAATCCGTGTATAAGTGGACCTGCACAGCTCAAACCCACGTTGTTCAAGGGTCGAGTGTACTGTGTACGTGTGACAGAGTATGTTTGTGTGTGTGTGTGTGTGTGTGTGTGTGTGTGTCTGTAGAAGAAAATCTACAAAGTTTCAGTGAAAAAGGAAGAAACTCCAGTTTCAATAGAGTAGTCTATAAAGTAGAAAATTTTTCATTCTCTTTCTCGCCTAAAAATGGTTCCCAGGAAATGGCTTTAGTCATAATTAATTTTAGTCTGGTAGATTCCAGGATTAAAACCATTTCCCTAAAGAGAATGCCTTCTCTATGAATGTAAAATAGCCCTATATGGCTTTTAATGTCATTGGCCCTTAATATCACTTTATATTTATACATCATAAATATATATTTCCCCAGAAGCTTGGTGATTCCGGGGTGCAGATATGGTATGAATGGAACTTGGCAGTTCCCCAATAATAAGAGTAATAATAATAACACACCACCAATAAAAATAAACAAGGGACATTTTAAGTGTTTACTGTGTGCAAGGGACTGTTCTAAGCATTTTATCTGAGGTTACTCAAGTATCTGACCATTTATCAGACTGCCCAGTTAAGGGGGTCTTTGAATCTCCTTGAGCATTTGTACCATCTATCAAAGAAAAAATAGATCCTTACCTCTCAACATACACAAAAATTAACTCAAAGTGGACCATTGGCCTAAATGTAAGGGATAAAACTATAAAATTTGTAGAAGAAAAGAGAAAATTTTTGTGACCTTGGGTAAGGCAAAGACTTCATCAAAAACATGATACATAAAAGAAAAAAATTGATAACCTGGACTTTATAACTTTTGTTCTTCAGAACACCCCATTAAAAGAATGAAAAAAATAAGCCACAGACTGGGAGAAAATATTTACTAATCATATATCTGATAAAGAACTTATATTTAGAATATTTTTAAATACAAAAAAAAACTTACAATTCAGTAAGAAGACAAACTACCCAGTTCAAAAATGGGCAAAATATTTGCACAAGCATTTTATAAGAAAAAGCTACATGAATAGCTCATCTGCACTTGGAAAGATGCTCAACAGTATTAGTATTAAAAGGAAAATTAAAAATACATTGAGAGGGCTTCCCTGGTGGCGCAGTGGTTGGGAGTCCACCTGCCGATGCAGGGGACACGGGTTCGTGCCCCGGTCCGGGAGGATCCCGCATGCCGCGGAGCGGCTGGGCCCGTGAGTCATGGCCGCTGAGCCTGCGCGTCCGGAGCCTGTGCTCCGTAATGGGAGAGGCCACAACAGTGAGTGGCCCGCGTACCGCAAAACAAAACCAAAACCAAAAACAAACAAACAAGCAAAAAACTACATTGAGATACCACTACACATCTATATATTCCAAAAAGACTAACAATATCAAGTCTTGGGGATGATATGGAAAATCTTCATATGTTGCTGGTGGTAATGTAAAATGGTACAGTAACTTTAGAAAACAGGCTGACAGTTTCTTAAAAAGTTAAACATATACTTAGGATACAACCCAGCATGTATCCATATACTCACAGCAACATTGCTCATAATAGCCAAAAACTTGAAACAATCCAAATGTTCATCAAATGGTGAATGGAAGGGGAAAAAAAATTCCATACAAGATGAATATTATTCATAAATAAAATGGAATGAACTACTAATATGTAGAACAACATGAACAAACCTCAAAAACATTATTCCAAGTAAAAGAAGCCAGGCACAAAGGACTAAATGTTGTAAGAACCCACTTATATAAAATTTCTAGAAAAGAAAAATATACAAAGATAGAAAATAGATCAGTGGTTGTGGGGACTGGAAGTGGGCATAGAGACTGAGTACAAGCAGGCGTCAGAACTTTTGGGGTGATGGAAACATGCTAAATTGGACTGTGATGATGGCTCACAACTATATATATTTTCTAGAAATCACTTAACTACAGTTACAATGGGTAAATTTTGTGATACGTAAGTTATACCTCACTAAAGCTATTAAAGTAAGGAAAGGAAAGATGACACTACCTTTCCTACAAGAACAGTATTTCAGGGTCATCACATTGCTGATAAGGAAAATATCTGTTAGAGAAGAATTCCAGCTAACACATATAGAAAAAATTAACAGTATTAGAAAAATCACATTTGGTAACCCCTAATGAAAAGACGGGTCTCAAGGAATGCTGAAGCTGTTCGATGAAAGGCGGTAGAGGAGGTTTATCATGGAGGAATCAGGCTGATGCTGCCTGGAGGCAAAAGATAAATCTTAATATCACTAAACTTAAGACAATCAGACATTATATGCCGCTTGATATGATGCAATAATAAGTACAGAGCACCAATTATGAAGGATTCTTGCCAAAAAAACAAAATAAGCCTGAATCGAACCAAACCTTTAGGTCTAATTTTCAGTTTACATAATATAAGTGACGAATAAGCTAAACAACACTTTGAGGAAGCAGCAGCCAAATCCAAACTGTAGGACATTCTAAAGGACCTGATTTTTCTAACAAATTCACGGCATTAGGAAAAAAAAAAGTGAGGGACACTACTACAGAAAAAAATAAACTGAAGGGCTAAACAGCCACATACATATGTGAACCACGCCTTGATGGGATCCTGATTTTTAACAAACTGTATAAAGACATTGTGGTGGCAATTGGAGAAACCTGCATAATGACTAAGTATTTGATGTTATTAAGGAATTAATATTAATTTTGTTAGGTATGATACCAATATAGTGGTCATATTTTTTTCAAAAAAGCCTTTATCAATTAGAGGTCATGCCAGAATATTTGCAGTGAAATAATGTATGTATAGAATTTGCTTTTAAATATTCCAACATTTTTTTAAGTGGCAGGGTAAACATATAATACAATGGGCAAAATGTCAAAAAACTGTTGAAGCTGACAGGTATATGAGACTTCATCATTCCATCTTTTCCACTTTTAGTATAGCTTTAATTTTTCATATTAATAAGGTTAGGGGACAACAAAAAACTGCAAAGCTGAGAGGAAATTAAAAGTAAAAGAAAAGGGGCCCAAAGCTTACAAGAGAGATCAGGGATAAAGACTGCTGTGGAAGCCATCAGAAGATAGGTAAAACATGAAGCCAAGTCTTTGGAGAATATCATATAAGGAGAGAGTAGAAACTAAGTCAAAAGAGATCAGAGAAGTGAAGCCAGAGGAATTTGAGAAAGATACCAAAAAGTGGACTGTCAGTGATGAAGGAGGAAACCTAAGAGAAAAAGTGAATCAGTGAAATCAAGACAAGAAAGATTCCAAATAATAATAACCACCAAGTACTCTTAGAGACCCTAAATTTCAAATAAAATAGGAAAAATTATGTTTTTTAACAAAAGAACTTCAGAATGATAAGGGAAATAATTATCTTCATATTTCCTAAGATACGCAATTTCTGAGATACTGAACAAGATGTTCAAGAAAATTAAAAGTCATTACGCACTGGCACCAAGTTGCCACCTCACTAGTCTGCCATAGTGGAAGACAGAATACCAAGTGCAAGAACAGCTATAAAAAATAAATACGATATTGACATTAGCCATAAAGAGTTCTTTAAACTATTACTATTAACTCCCTGAAGGTAAAACAATGAGCCAGCCCTATTTCTACCCATATGCCCAGATTCTATCTAGCATGGTTCCAGGCTGCATGTTTCTATATTGCTAGAGTCCCAACGGGGTGCAAAAGGTATGGAAGGGACAGTTGACATTGATGATGCTCAATATTGTTGGCGTTTTGAGCCACAATTATATATTAGACCAATATGGTAATCCCTAATCCCTTTCTGATTACAAGGATAAATAACAGAGCTTTTCATTTCATACTCAGAGCTCAAATAACATATTCCCAAACGTATACCTTTGCATTGCTGCTCTCACAAAAAACTGGATCTTTTTATAGTTGATCCCTAGTACTTTGAAGAATTTACTGTTAACCACAGCCTTGAATACATCACTTTCAAATAATTTATTAACATATTGCATACAATACAAAATGCAAAAGCATATATATTTTAAGCTACTATTACTTCAATCTTCTATTATTTACTCTCTTGATTTGCAATACAGTGAGGTTAAAGACATATTTTTGTTTGCAGGGCAAAGTCCCACCTAACATGAATCTCAGTTCTTACATCATTAACAGCTCATATCATTTTAATCAATAAATAGTTCAGATAAGTCTTTTTGTTATTCACAGATCAAACACAGAAAAAGGAAAAATTCCCCATCTCTCTGCAGCACACGTAGTTTTTATTATTTCCAGGTATATTCCAAAATTCTAAAAAGTGTAAAAAACTTCTCACCTCAAGAGTTTTGAAGTTCTTGTTTGACCCTTTTTGACTTTTATCTAACTCAGGATTAAAGAGCATGATTCTAAAATCTCTTAGAATCAGAAATTAAAAGTTAAAAACTTACTTTCAAGCTGTGCAACCACATCTCCAGGGTCTACTGCTTCAGGGAACACCTATAGTGAGAGAAGGCAGAGGGAAGCAGGATAGAGAAGAGAACGTAAAAGGAAGACATATATGAAATAGTTTTTGTGTTTTCCTTCTCATTCCCAAAATATTCCTTTCCCAACCAAAGAAACTTCTGACATTATTGAGAACTGTCACTTCCTCTCTGCTTCCCATGATCAGTATACAAGATTTTACCAACAAACAAAAATTACATCTGGCTCTGCCTCCCTCTCCAATTTGATCTGCTAGCAGTCCTCCCTTTGTTACCACGGTCATACTTGCCTCCTTGGTGTTCCTCCAGCTCATCAAGCTTATTACCAACAAGACACCTTTATACTTTCTGTTCCTCTGCTTAGAATGCTTTTACCCTAGACCTTTAAATAACTGATACTGTCTCATAATCCAGGCTCAGTTTCAATGTTATTGCCGTCTCTGACCACCCTTTAAAATAAAGAATCCCCCTAATCCTTCTGTCCCCTTACCCTCCCTTTATTCTCTTCATGACACTTACTACTTACTTGATTATTGTCTGTTTCACCTATTACAATGAAAGCTCCAAGAGGGGAGCATGTTTGTTTTTTTTACCCAGTGCCTAGAACAGTGCATGGAACAGAGCAGGTACTCAGTAATTATCTGTGGAGAAGAGGAAGGAGAAAAAGGAAGGAAGGAGGGAAGGAGGAAAGGAAGGAAGGAGGGAAGGAAGGAAGGAAAGAGGGAAGTAGACAAGGAGAGAAGGAAAGGAAAAAGTGAGAAATACAATTGGTAATAATTACCCCAAAGCACCAGATTCAGGGGGGAAAAAAGAAAAGAGACTTATAGAAAGAAGCACCACATGACAGTCATAAGCAAAATATGACCTATTCTTACCTATTAATATCTCCCCTATCTCTTCTATGAAAATGATTACTTAGAATTCAAGGTGCTATATTTTACATAAAGACCACTAAGACAATTTTAGAAGTAAACTGGTCCATCACGAAATAGAGGCAACTGATTCAATGTGTAATATAATGTATATTTATTTTCAAGCTTCCAGATTTAAGTTACAAATCTCCTTTTGAATTAAATCAAAGTGCATAGTCAACAACAGTAATATGTGTTTTTCAAAATTTGGAACCACTTTGATTTTTTATTGGTTAACATTTGATTGGATATTTGAACTCACCTTTTCAAACACCATTCTGGCATTGAAGACCAGTGGAAAACTGGCTGGGACACATTGTGTCTTTTTGTATTGGCCAAACACACAGATGCTAAGATAGATGTCCTCCTTGTCTTTCAGCACCACTCCTGGGCAAGTTACCTGAAAGAAATTAGACAGATGAACATGACTGCTTCATGAATTCCCTGAACTACTGTACTAAAATAACTTACCAAACATTACATAAAAACACTAGTCTGCTAAGCTAATAAAAATATGCACAAGTTAAAAAAAAAAGGAGAGATTCTAGTATTTACAGAGTTAAATGAAATGCCTTTATAACTTCCATCCCTCTGAGAAATCTATGATTTTCCACTTGGTTATCTGTGCTCTATGTACTGGCTCTTGGGACAGACACTAATAGTTTTAAACAGTAAGCCTCAGGCTCCCACTTTATGTAGAATGCTGACATAAACTTATTCAGCATCATTTAATCACAAAGGATTAAGACTCAGCAGAAATAAAGCACAATACTAGAGGACAAAAAAAAATACCAAAAAAAGCACAAATCTGACCTGTATCACCCTAAGTCGCAGCCCATATACACCCTCATCAAAGAAATATGACAAACCTTCAAAGCAAGTGAACTGTAAGTTTCTAGCCCAATGAAATATTTTTTAAATATAAAACTGCACTTAACTATTCTCAGGACCGACACAAGGTATAGGCATAAGATGTAGGGTTTCTAAAAAATACATAGCACAGTCTCTCCAGTTCCTGCCATATTTCATTGTCAGTGATCAACCATACCCTTACTAGGCTATTGAAGATTCTCTAAGATTTGAATCCAACTTATCATATAGCAATATTACTTGACACCTCCTAAAAATACCATCAAAGTATATTTTTTATTGTTTTCTGAACGCACACATTACTTTCTTGCCTCGCATTCTTCCATTATCTGGGTTACTGCTCATTTCTACTCCATGCCATCTCCTCCTCATCTCCTTCTACCTCCCAAGGCTTACATTAACTGCCATCCCATACACAAAACTTCTCTTGATTCACCAACTGTCACTATTCAATTCAATCTAATTCAAACATTTATTGTGAATTTATTATAGTCAAGTAAATAGTTTTAAATTCTCACAGCATTTTATAGTTCTCTTAAGGCCCTAATTATTGTCTCTATGCATTTTAATGAAGTGGGTACACCTCACCTATTTTATTTGATTATAAATTCCCTGAGAACAGAAACTCTAATTTCCTCATCAATGTACCCCAAAACACAGACTTTCCATATTAAGAAGCAGCTCAGAAATTATCTAGTACAGCTTCGAATTTTTTATATAGGGAAACGACAGAGACCCAATAAAGTGAAGGTGATTAACTTACTTAAAGTCACACAATAAATGAGTCAATACAATACACTCAAAGTACTTAGAACAGTGCCTGACAGTGCTTTAAATAAATACTAGTGGGCTTCCCTGGTGACGCAGAGGTTAAGAATCCACCTGCCAATGAAGGGGATACGGGTTCGGGCCCTGGTCCAGGAAGATCCCACATGCCGCAGAGCAACTAAGCCCATGTACCACAACTACTGAAGCCTGCACGCCTACAGCCCGTGCTCTGCAACAAGAGAAACCACTGCCATGAGAAGCCCATGCACCACAAAGAGGGGTAGGCCCCACTCGCCACAACTAGAGAAAGCCCACGCACAGCAACAAAGACCTAACATAGCCAAAAATAAATAAATAAATAAAAATAAATGTATAAAAAAAATAAAAAAATAAATACTATAGTTATTATTAGAATGAAAACCACTATCATCTACCATCTTAATATAGACTATTGCACTGAATAAATGACTAAGACTTCATGTCCCTCTGTAAACAGCAGTTAAGATTATTTTCTATGCTAGCTATTTTGACTCCATCTACCCCTTATTCTATTTTCTACTTTTGTCCTAATAATTCACTATTGATTATTAAAATCAAGGCCCTCAGAAATCTCATTCTGTCCATCAGCTTCATTTTCTATTCTGCCTCATTTAAACCAAACCTGTTAAGAGTACCTCTAAGTCTGTGTTATGCCTACAGATGAGGCTGGTCCAAATTGAGATGGACAGTTAATGTAAAATACAAGATTTTGAAGACTTTTGAAGACTTGCTCAAAAATATTTTAAAGAATGTTTACAAAACAAGTGTAAAAAAACTCATTAACAACTTTTACACTAATTACATGTTGAAAGGATAATACTTATGCTGACTTAAATAAAATTACTGTTAAAATTAATTTTATCACTTCTTTTAATTATTTAATGTAGCTAGGGGAAAATTTTAAATTATATCCTTGGCTCAAATTATACTTCTATCGGACAGCACAGCTCTAACTGTCCTCACTGAAAAATACTGAGTCTCTTTCCAATTTGTAGTATATTTAAGAAGACATGACATTTTTCCTTAGCCACAGTTCTATAAATTCTGTCATTCTTTAAAGGAATACCATGGAAAGTTCCATAAAGAAGGCATCAAAAGAGGGGTTAAAGAAAATCCGACGGAACAAATATAAAACAAATAGCAAACTGGCTGGCTTAAACCAATCATATGGATAATTACATGAATGTAAATATCTTAAGTATTGTAATTAGAAGGCAGAAATTATTAGACTGGATAAAAAAGCAGAACACAATATGCTAGCCTGCAAAAACACAATTTTAAAGATTACGACATACATAGAAAAAGTATTTTCATAATAGTAGAGTAAATATCTCCAAAATCAGCCCCTCCACAGAGAAGCTGAATAGATATTTTTCCAAAGAAGATATACAGATGGCCAACAGGCACATGAAAAGATGTTCAACATCACTAATTGTCAGGGAAATGCAAATCTAGACCACAATGAGATACCACCTCACACTCGACAGAATGGTTATTACCAAAAAGACAAGAAACAACAAGTGTTGGTGAAGATATGGAAAAAAGGGAACTCTCACACACTGTTGGTGGGAATGTCAACTGGTGCAGCCATTATGGAAAACACTATATCGAGGGTTCCTCAAAGAACTAAAATAGAACCAGTTATAGGATCCAGCAATTCCACTCCTGGGTACTTATCTGAAAAAAAAGAAAATACTAATTTGAAAAGGTATATGGGGACTTCCCTGGTGGCGCAGTTGTTAAGAATCCTCCTGCCAATGCAGGGGACACAGGTTCGAGCCCTGATCCAGGAAGATCCCACATGCCACGGAGCAACTAAGCCCGTGCACCACAACTACTGAGTCTGTGCTCTGGAGCCTGCGAGCCACAACTACTGAGCCCACGTGCCACAGCTACTGAAGCCTGAGCTCCTAGAGCCCGTGCTCCACAACAAGAAAAGCCACTGCAATGAGAAGCCTGTGCACCACAACAAAGAGTAGCCCCCCAGTCATAACTAGAGAAAGCCATGCACAGCAACAAAGACCCAACGCAGCCACAAATAAATAAATATAAATAAATAAATATTTTAAAAAAAGAAAAGATATATGTACCATGTTCATTGCAGCACTATTTACAACAGCAAGATATGAAAGCAACCTAAATATCCATCAATAGATGAATGCATAAAGATACACACAAACACATCCCCCCACACATACACACAGGGATATTACTCAGCCATAAAAAAGAATACAATATTGCCATTTGCAACAACATGGATGTACCTAGAGGGTATTATGCTAAGTGAAATAAGTCAGATACAGAAGGAAAAAATACCATAAAGAAGACAAAACAAATGAACAAAACAGAGACACATAGATACAGAAATAAACTGGTGGTTGCCAGAGGGGAGGCGGTGTGTGGGGGGGGGGGTGGACAAAGTGGGTGAAGGGGATTAAGAGGTACAAACTTCCAGCTATTAAGTAAATAAGTAATGGAATTAATGTACAGCATAGGGAATATAGTCAATAATATAATAACTCCATATGGTGACAGACAGTAACTAGACTTATCCTGGTGATCATTTCATAATGTATAAAAATATTGAAACACTATGTTATACACCAGAAACTAATATAATATTGTATGTCAATTATAATTAAAAAATTATTGTAACAAATGGTGAATATTTACTATGAGCCCTAAATTAGACAGTATTGCTGTATAAATGCTAAATTTATTGTGTGGGGGAATTGTATTAAATTTATATAGGAGAATGTCCTTGTTCTTAGGAGATTTACCCTAAAATATTTAGTGGTAAAGTGTCTGAATGTAAGCAACTTCAAATGTTTCATCAATATATTTTTATGCCTATATCTCTACTTGTATCATAGAGAGAGATAAATAAATCAGATGTGAAACAAACAGAAAGTCAGCCCTCCGTAAAAGCAATGAGAACACCAACAACAACTGTCAAAATCAACTTTTTAGAGACCTAGAAATTAACCAGAAGTTTGCAACAATCTGAGGAGCATTTATTCAAGACAAATAGCTGAATTTTGGTAAAAACAGTGATATTGTGGTGTTTTAACATACTTTATTCCCAATTTCCTCTACTCAGGTCTGCTATAGCCTTGACAACCAAGACCCTTACAATCATGGTAGCCATGAAAACTAGCAGCCCTACAGCCACTGTAGGAAATCAGGTATAAAGCTACCCAAAAGCCCTAGCCTAAGGAATTGTCAACCACCATTCACAGGGCTTCTCTTTATTTGACTTGAATCAGAGCTTAGTCACAACAAACATCCTTTACCTGTGAGGCATTTGTCAGAAAAAAAAAAGCAGCTATTGTTTAACATCAGGGATGCCTGAGGCAGTGCCAGTTGGAGCAAACAATAAGTGACCAAAACACTTAAAAGGCAAAGCTGGAGAACTCTGCGTGTGTGTGTGTGTGTGTGTGTGTGTGTGTGTGTGTGTGTGTGTGTG